GTATGAGGACCCCAAAAAGACAGAGGCTGATTTTTTTTAATGGAAGTCTTTCTTTTATATATAACTGCATGATGGGGAAGGGAATTGAGACAAGAAGAAGCCTTGCATTTCAGTGACCTAAAGCCCTGCCTTCATATCAAATTAAACCATTGCTGATCAGTCCAATTACACATTTTGGACAATAGATAAATGATGCGGGTGAAAAGATCCTTAGTTTTACTATTTGATCCCCATAGTGCTAAATGTTTCCAGCAGCTGTTGTTGATGAATATGATTTATTCACACATATAGCCTGCTCCATTCTCTGAGTCCTAGTGTAATTCAAAAACATTGAGTACTTCATCCATCATTTTTATAGCACCATATTCAATAAGAGTAAATGGAACATACTAGTAAGTTAATTGCTTATTCTTAGCTAAACTTCTAACAATCAGCTTCACTGCATTCAGAAAAAGGTGCCATTATTTCTTACAAACACTGCTTACTTTGAATAAAAATCTGTCAACCTACTTATTTGAAAGTTTGCATTGGTGCAACTTAGAAGTAATTTTCAAGTACTTTTTTTTAAAAAAAGGAATTTAGCTTGGAACACCTCACACTGATTTCCCAGGCATGTTTCACCCACTCTATTTGGAGTTCTTATTTTTCTCATACCCCACTTGGTAAAAGGTAAATGATACATAAACTTACTACTACTAAAACAAAAAATGAAAATAATCTAGGAGAAAGTAAAATACAATAATAAAAGAGCATAAATTCTGCACAGTGAAAAAAAGGTGAAGCAAATGCTAGATTAGACAGATGCTGATTTGTTCAAGCTGGTCTTTTCTTAAGGAAAATAGGATCTCAGAACAGACCTCAGTTAACAATCACAGCCAAGAAACAAAACAAGATCATGGTGAGAATCTTATATTTATTCTGTCTTTATTTTGAGCCAGATCTTTAGAAAAATAGTTTCCAAAGTAAGCATGAGCATGTATACGTGTATCAAGAACTAGTCGCTTCTTCAATATACAAGGGTAGAATCTATGTAAATGTTTAGCTATATTTTTAAAAATCAGACTTGTCCCTGTAAAGTTTTAATAATTTATCAACATCTGTAAATGTGTAGACAATTCCGTTTTTTAAAAAGGATTTCTTCACCCACTCCCTTGACATACATAAACCAAATAATACAATCCACATAGTGGCTTTTTGTGCAAGAACAGATCCAAATATTAAAGTCACTCAAGCCAAGAAATGTGTTAATAATGAAATATCACAGACCAATTTGAGGAATAGGCACTGGAAATTATCCTTTTAGTACAAAGTGCTTCCAGTACAATTTTAAAAAGAAGAAATGTTTATTTTCGAATGGCCTTGGAATCATTGCTTTTCCCCTACCCCCAGTTCTTCTAAAAATGGTTTGATTTGTTGAATATGTACCACATGCACATTTGTTGGTGGAACCTGTTTTAAAAATTGGTAATTCCAAAATAAATTCTGTGAGGTCTCTCGCAAAATACAAGCATCAGAATTACGCATATGTTATTACTTTAATACAGTCAGTTTTCCACTAATCTCTCAGTATTAAATGGAGAAAATCTCCACATTATGAGATGATATATTTATTAAAGTAAGAATTCAAACTTTATATAAAAGTATGTAAAATAATCAGCATTTCTGCTACTCAACCATCAATAGAAATGCAGAGATAAACTACATTTACATACCATGCAAAAGGGACAATATAGAAACTGAGAAGGAAACAAAAAGGCCAGAACACCTTCTCCCCAGCAGCCAAACCCAGATAAGTAGGAATTAACACTGGACAAACAGTCAAGGGCACAAACAATACTGTAATCAAGGAACTATCAAGGAGACAAATTAGAAGACGAACAATCAAGCAGAAAACAAGGAACTACCAAGGAGAAAGCCACACAAACAGTGGCAGGGCAGGCTACAACAGAAAGCAAACCCACACTCCCTACACTCTCTAGCACTGATAATGTTATTTAGTCAGGTAATGAAAGATCTGCAAGCAAACAACCAAACAAACACAGAGAGCACCAAGGAATGCACAGTTCAACAGTGAGTTGTATTTAATTTCTTCTAATGATGCTCTTAATTCACCTGCACATTTGATACAAAAGAATATGATGTTTTAGGCTGAGTTATTGACTGACATGTACTGATTTTGTATGATAAAAATTTTGTCTAAAAATATAGTCTGAAGAAATTCTGACAGATTGAAGATTTAGTTGTTGATACATGTCAACAACTTTTGAATTTCTAAAAATTGTTTTCGGTTTACTCAGAAAAAACACCCTCAACTTTTTTTTTGTCTTCATTCTGAATTATCTAGAAAGTATTTATCATAACAACGGATTCCAGGCCTTTGGAATCTCTTTTATTTTTACTACAACCACAGTATATATTGAAAAGACTAAGTGCAAAAAAATAGTTCATCGGGTAGATACCTGTCAGCCATAAAGAATAGGTAAACTAACTAATTGTGAAAATTGGATTTAATCCTGAGGACCCTCAGGTGCAGCAGGAGAAAGAGTGTCAATTTTAGTGAATTAGATATTCACTTCATTACGGTCTATGTCTTTATAGTCTCATGCAGAAATCAACATGTAATACAAGAGTTAGATGAGCAAATGTTAGTACAGTGCTTCTAGCACAAGAAATGTTTCCTTTTTATCATGCATTGGTAAAAATCTGTATTAAGTACTGTGCTGATTTGTAGATATCACAATTTAAGGATTCTGAAAATAGATTGAGTGTTGGAAAACACGGATGATCAGAGAATTAGAAACTATGAAGGGGTAGAGTATGTTTCACTGTGACAGAGATTAAGGAAGCCAGTTTGGTCTAATTGTTAAGGCAAAAGGCTAAAAACCAGGGGGCAATGAGTTCTATTCCTGCCTTAGGCATGAAAGCCATTTGGGTGATTTTGGGCCAGTCATTCTCTCTCAGCCCAACTCATCTCATGGGATTGTTGTAAGGAAAATAGGAGGAGGAAGGTGTGTTGGATATATTTGCTGCCTTGTTATTTATAAAAGTTATTTATAAAAATAATAAAGGCAGGAACTAATAAATGAATGAATGAATGAATGAATGAATGAATGAATGAATGAATGAATGAATCAATGAATGATATAACAGCACTTTTCAAATACTTGAAGGGATATCACACAGAACAATTTGTTCTGTCTTTTTAACAGTGATGAGTACAGACACATGAATTCATATTGCACAAAGATAGATTCTGTCTACAAATTAGAAAAAAATATTGACAATGGAAAGAATTACTCAGAGAAGAGATAGGTCCCCTTCCCTGGATGGGTTGAAGCAGATTCCAGCTGTCTTTTGGGATCTTTTAAGTAGGATTTTTGCTCTGGGCAGGTATTGAACTCTATGGCTTAAGGAGACCCCTTCATCTGGATGATAATGTCTGCATTTCTTAATTCGATTAATGTGAAATTTCAACTAATAAAGCCAGAGATCTCATACATAAATAATCAGTTGGCAAATTTAGTTTCTTTATAATTATTTATTATTTATTCATTTTCCTTCTTTCAAACCTGCCTAGGAAACATTTTGACCACATTTAAATTAAGTTTAAAAGCATTTAAATATAAAATTAATAGATTTAAGTGTAATTTAAGTTCAAACTATTGCTCTCAGATTAAATTTTATTTAAAGTGTAGCACTTTAACTTGCTTTGATCTGAAGGGTTCTTTAGTAAAGTCATTTCAAAAAATGGTTTTCCTCAAAAATCAAATTAAACTTTATTTTGCAAAAATTTTATTGGGGAAATAATTTATATTTTGCTGGGTTTAGCTCATTAAATACAGTGATCTACATGAAAAAAACAATAAATTGAGTAGAACAGACAAGACCTATTAAAAATTGGCATATATAGCAAAGGAGATGGAGAACCAATTATATTAGCATCATGCACAAACATTCATTGGGTGGCTGTGAACATTTATTTCTGAATTTTGGTTTTCTCTATGTAAAATAGGAACAGTAGTAAAAGAATCAGGAGTAATTATTGCAAACTTTTTGAATATTTCCAAATCAATTTAAGCCCAAATAGTCTCCATACAAATTCTTTTTTGTAACATGTTTGCCATAAGTGGGACTGTGAATCAGGAAGAATGATGGTTCAAATAAAAAAAATGATCCTGGCCCACTGACCCATTTCCTGGAGCAGCTGACTGCTGATACCTAACAGGGAACATTTCAGAATGAAGCATAAGGAGCAACAGTGTTCATTTCAAGAACTACACTAGACATTTTAATGCTTCCTATGAGGATTCTTCAGGGCAAACAGTCAGGGCAGATACATTGCTGTCCTGTTTAATACCTCCATAATATCATAGATCTTTCTCCAAGTTTCTTAGGCTTCAAGTATCCAATTCTTTTTCACCATTACTACAAGATTGATAGAAATGCAGAATCTTCAAAATCCATGTTTGTTTAGAAATTTCTTAAGTCACTAAAGGATTGTTAGGATACTATGCTAATGCTTGGAAGAAAGACTACTTGTTAACAGAAGTTGTGTGTTTGTGCTCAATGTAAAGAGGTCTTCATTTAAGTTTATTTGAAGTTAATGTTGCTGATGTGGAGAAACTGGAAGAGGCACAAAACACTCAATATCCATGTTTCTGGTATGAATTGGACTAGTCAGTTGCCTTCATACGGAGGGGTATGCAGCTTGTGTGTCGTTTGAAAAATGGATGGAATAAAATTGAATAAACAGTCTTTTCAAAAGTGTAACTTTCTAATAAATTGCCTAGGATTGAAGCTCAGCCAATTCATCTTCATAATGTTTGATCAGTTCATCACGCTGGACAAAGAAACATGGAAGAATTGACTAACTAGGTTTTGGGGTGGTCCGCCACCAGGTCTTCAATAGTATAATTTGATCATTATATTGTTCAATCCAATTGATATTTCTGAACTCCTTTTCAGTATTTAGGATAAATAAAAATATTATATTTTGCCAGGTGTGGGATGATAATCTAGCTAAATCTGCAGAAGCTTGGGCAGCTACTTGCATTTGGGACCATGGCCCTTCTTACTTGTTGAGATTTCTGGGACAAAATTTATCTGTACGGACTGGAAGGTAATTAAATTTAATATATATTTGTTTCAAGCCATTAATTTTCAAGCATCTTTTATCCTGCAATTTTATGAGAATGAAGTAATTTTCAGAAAATAAACAATATATATGTCTATATATAATATATGACTTAGGCACATTAGTAATACTGAACATTCAAAAATATCATTTTTTTCTTATTTTAATTTTGCTCAGATATCGATCCATTCTCCAGCTGGTGCAACCCTGGTATGAAGAAGTGAAAGATTATGCCTTTCCATATCCTCAGGACTGCAATCCAAGGTGTCCAATGAGATGCTACGGACCAATGTGCACACATTATACCCAGGTGATATTGGTTCAGTTTTCCTGTATCATTCTTCAGTTCAAAGCTTACGTCTATGTGATAAGTGTGTTATTTTCAGGCTGGACTTTTAACAAATAAATCTTACTATTCCTTTAGATGGTTTGGGCCACTTCCAACAGAATAGGTTGTGCAATCCACACTTGCCCTAATATGAATGTCTGGGGGGCTGTTTGGAGCCGAGTTATTTATCTGGTATGCAACTATGCCCCAAAGTAAGTTTCTCTATTTTCATTTCATCTATTGTTGCATATTGTCTCAGCACACAAGCCATCATTGTAACTCATTTTCTAATTCATTCAGGTTATATGCTATAAAGTTATGTTATCCATAGGTTATACATGTAACTTTGGATATGTTGGTATTCCGTAAAAGTAAATCAGGGCAGTTATAATTCCATCTATCAAAGAAATATAAGAATACCCTGTTGCTAAACCTCATATCATGTTTTTAAATGACAATAGCAAAAGGGGCAAAGAATTATCAGCAGCAAATATTTGGCATGTATTTGAAAATTGCTAGCAAAAAGCATTGAATTTTAAGAACATGTGATTCGGTTATAAACAATCTGCAACCTCCGAATTTTATTTACCTTAAATGAGTTAAACATAGGAGGAGTCTGTCTCAGTCTATTTGTATTGTAACTTGTCTTCTTATGAGATTTTTCTGGTTCTACCCATAAATATCCAGTCCTATATCCATAGGAATTGGGGCTAAAATCTAAGTGAATTCATCTTGAATAAAGGTAGATTCTGCACCTAAGAGCAATTGTACGATAGACTGCTATGCAGGTAACAAAGGGAAAAAGTATATTTTATGTTATTCAATAAAGAATATTATGAAATATTCAGCATACTAAGTATATTATTTGTTTTTTCCTCCTTAGGGGAAATTGGATAGGAGAAGCACCATATAAGGTTGGGGTGCCATGTTCTGCTTGCCCTCCCAGTTATGGAGGATCATGCACTAACAATCTTTGCTTTCCCGGAGTGACATCAAACTACTTATATTGGTTTAAATAAATGGTACAATTGTTTTAATGAAATGCATGTGTAACAAAATCTTGTATATTGACGTTTGCATATATTGTATATATAATGTATTGATTCATTAATATTATTATGGACTTTATGTAATAATATGAACATTAGTTTTTAGAGATATAATGTATATTTAAATATTTCTGTTTAAGTGACAGTGGACCACTGATAGCTACAGATTAATAATGTGCCTTAAGCAACAAAGACAAAGAAAATTGGAATAGGAATTAAAGTGATTAAGTTTAGTCCCTTAAAGGCCTTAAAAGAATGTATCTTCAAATATTTTATATTTATAGGCCTGGGCACAAAATGAACTCTAAATTATTATATCTAATCCTTTGAGCTTACTTGTGTGCATATGTATGTGTTTTACAAAAATCAGAAAACAAAATATATCCTAGCTACAAATTGAAAAGTTTAAGTAACTCAAATTGGTAGAATATCAATATGGGATATTTCTTTGTGCCACTATTTAGAATGAGCAACGTTATGATATTTTTGAAAAATATACCCAACCAAGTGCAATTTTATAAAAGAACACAAAGTTTTCCAGAAAATTTAACAGAAGAAAAAACAATACTGAGATTATAATGGTGTATATTTGTACAGCTTTAGTCTTGTATTTAGTAGCAAAAAAAGTAAAGGAAACTTTTTCCTTTTCCTTTATTAAAAATATATGTGCAATTGTGGCAAAATTCTGTAGATTAACTTTAGTTTTCTGCTTAGAAATATACTTAGTTATGTTGCTATAGTTAAACAAAGTCCTAACTTGGACACGAAAGTCAAAGCAATTTGGCTATCATCTGATGGTCACATACACTCTTCTTCCTGTTTGTGATACTTGAGGCCACTGCTGTTCCTGGAGTTTTGCATTGTGAACTACTTGACTCCTATCAATGATATTCTTTGCAGGTAGAGTGGAGCAGATGGGTGCTGCCATGCTAATGTGGATCCCAGGTTCATTAGAGGATGTGCAATAATATCAGAAATTGAACTGTTTAATTTTGATAAAGTTAGATATATTTTAAACAGCATCAGGTTTATTATTACCTGGATATTCAACACAGGCCGGACTGTAATAAGAAGGCACTCTTCTATCCATATATAAGCTAAACATTAATTTAGAGTCAAATATCTTGCTTCTTAATGGAGAAAGAATATTACAGTAGTTTGCTTTATGGTAACCAAGAATTTCCCCAGCACTAAAATAGTTACTGGATAGCAATTATACAACTGAACTTCTATGGGGTACATGCTGTTCCACTAACTATATTCCATAATTCATTGGCAAAAAGATACTCAAGAAATAGTTCTGTAACATTACAAGTAAACATTACAAGTAACCTGTTGACCTCTCATCACTGTCAATGTAGCGAGGGACTCATTCTGCCATAGGGAAAAAAACTCTTTGGGTCCAGTATGATTTTAGTTTGCGGAATAGGTTATAATCCTTTCTAGGTACTAGAAGGAGTGGTGAGCAAAAAAATGCTATATATTTAATGAGTGATATTTAAAGTGTAATCACTTTCAGAAGTAGTATAGTGTGCTTTCTGAATTGTACATACCTGATTCTGTATTGCAGCTGAAGCTATTACAAAGAATATACATGCATTTAGATTTTAGCGATAATTATTCTTCTACATTGATATAAATAACCTGATTCTATAGAATATTATCTTTTAATAACTCAGACCAGAAAACTTTACTATCAAACTGCTGCATAGGACTTTTTATAGCATGCAGAAATGGTGCTAATCTAGGGCAAAATCCTGGCTCTATTGAAAACAATGCCCATTTTTTTTCATTGTTTTCAGAGAAACTATGGTTCATCTACCTATCTATTATAAACACACTGTTAATTAAAACAAGTACAACATAAGCTATTTCATACGAGCAGCTTCTTAAAGCAGGCAGCAGGAACTTTCTTCATAGACCTAAAAGACTTTTGGTGCACTGGTTGAGGAACTGACTTTTCTATCTTAATTATATAATGATGTTATTAAATTACCTGCATGGTTAACCCAAAATCACATAATATTTATCAGCTCTATTGGTTTTTGCCAAAGATGGTTAAACCATATTTCCTAGAAGTTTAGGATTTCTCAGTGAAAAAAAATAGTAATGAAAAGACAGCATTTCAGGAAGGAATTTGATTACTGTCAACTATTACTGCTCTTCATCTGAGTTGTAAAATATATCTTGGTTATATTTTAAGGTACATAGATCTAGTTTGTAGGAATGGCAAAGCCTAGCATGTCTGGATGATGAGCCATATTTATCAACTTTTGGCAGATGTATATGTTGTCTGGCAGACACATCTGGGCTCTTTGGTAAACAAATTGATGTGGAAAATATTCTTTGAGTTTACAAAGTTTGAAAACCGCCAGTTTACATAAAAGGAAAGCTGAAAAATGCTCATTTTCTCACATAGCCAGTAGTATCAATGGGTGCTTGATCAAGTAGCTCAGCCTGAAGCTACAGTATGTATCTGTGTAAAATAGATAGATAGATAGATAGATAGATAGATAGATAGATAGATAGATAGATAGATAGATAGATAGATAGATAGATAGATAGATTGATTTACTGTGGCCTTGGACAATCCTATGGCAGATATCTGAAGCACCAACCACCCAGTCACTATTTTTTTCAGCAAATATACAGAGTCCCAATTTGGAATGTTGATCCACTGGTTGTAACAGGAATTGACAGAATGGTTTGTACCTGAGCCTGATGTGCGGGGATGAAACAGGGTGATTGGGCAAAGTCAGTCAATTGGATTTTATGTTTAAGGCAGAACTCACAGTCTCCTGGTTTGGTGCCTTAACCACTAGACCAAAATGTGTTGGCATATTGTCACACCAATTTAACTCTGAAGCTGGTGCTATATTATATAACTAAGGTGCTACATTATTTTATCAATTATCTTGTACATTTCAGTTACTCCAAATCAGGCAACTGGCTTTAATGAAATTTAGGTGGTTTAACAACAACAGCAGAGCTGACCTACAATAGTGATCTAAGATTATGACATTGATCTTTTGATTAAAACACTCATTGATATGGTTATAAATCAATTGTTTAAAGATAGTGGACATTACAGAGGGTAATTTCAACATGTTTATACAAAACTGTAAGAGTCTTGGTTGCAATGAGCTTAAATACAAAGATACAGTGAGAATTTACAATAATAATTAAAAAAGAATGGATGGGCACTGAATTCAAAGCATAACCCAAAGTCAAAAATAGAAACAAAACTTCATTAAACAAGTTGCCAAGAAATCAAACCTCCATATATTTCACCACAGATAGAAAATGCTGCACCAATACAGCACCAAGGAACCCTTGCAAATAGCTTTCCAGTATGTTCCTTGGAATGCGGCAATCTAAGATATTTTACTCATGAAGTCTGAACTCATGAAGTAATATATCAAAATATATGAAATTTAAGTTTTAAAAGTAACTTGTGGATCTAATAGATACACATTTGTAAATATATATATATCACAGAAATCCAGCCATCAGAAAGCTCTGAATGATTTTGATTGCATATATACATACTGTGGAAAAACAATATAGTTTGCTGCTATATAAGCAAGCTTTATTAGCACACTAATGCAACTTAAGTGTTAACACATTAGGTAATTGTTGCTGTTGCTGCTGCAAAAAGGTTAATCTCACTTTTTTCCCCTTTCTGGTTGGAACACAGTGCTTTGATTCCCTTAGTGCACGGGTGTCAAAGTCGATCACATCACATGATGTATCGTGACATATCGTGATATTTTTTGCCTTTGCGGAGCCAGTGTGGGCATGGCCTGCACGTGATGTCTCTGGCCCGCAAGCTGCAAGTTTGACACCCCTGCCTTAGTGGGATGAGTTTTCAGTTGAAGAAGAGGTAGGCTAGTCCTTCCTCTAAACCAGTGTTTCTCAATCTTGCAAGTTTAAGCTCTCTGGACTTCAACTTTCAGAATTCCCAGCCAGTATGGCTGGCTCTGGAATTCTGGAAATTGAAGTCCAGGCATTGTACAGTTGCCAAGATTGAGAAACACTGCTCTAAACTCTCCCTCCATGTTCTTCTATCCTATTGAAGAAGATTTAAAGAGCAGGCCAGTTAGTGTGGGAAGGAGGAAATAAAATCTTGTTAAGCTAGTGGAAATTTACTAGTGATATATTATATTCCACTCTTTATATTATTAGAAAAGTAAGTGTAAATTATCCTCTTTAACTTGGTGGCTTCATTTGTGTTGCATAGCATTTCCCATTATCCATGCAGCTTGAGGATTTATAGAAGAAGTAGGCCAACACTTCTTAAGAGAATCAGTTAAGGAAAGCTGGATTATTTCATTGTTTAGTATTCCATGCCTAATCCTGCTATTCCTCGCCTAATTTTGCTTTTTCCTGTGCTACCCAGATCTAGAATAGCTATAAGGAGGAGAGAAGATGCATTTTCTTCCATTTTCAGCTGGCTACAATTGATCACTTTGAACTGTTAATTAAAATTAACAGTTTATTTTATCTGAACAACCTGAAATTGTCTTTCTTTGACAAATCATAGTAAAACTAATATTTATGCATTATGATTAATTAAAATGAAATAAATGTGTCTATGCCTCTTACTATTGTCCATTTACGAGAAAGGAATGAGAAGCCCTCTTGTGCAAAACAATGAGATACATAATTTGAAGAATGCAGAAGACATAGGCTCATTTGCCCATTGCTAAATCATAGTTTAGTGTTATATGTGAAAATAGCTAATGTCGAAAAGATTGTGAGGCCAACGTTCCAACTTGTAACATGATATTGTTATTATGTGGAATCAGCAATTAATGTATTTGTAAAATAAAACAATTTTTCTTCTATATTTGGCTTATTTTTGTGGTTTGTTTGTCTGAAATTATAGTTCATTGTCTGGCATAGGTGTCATAACAGGTAAATTTACTTTTTCATATCATTATAGCTATATTTCAGATTGCGATTAGTATTACACTATTCCTGTGGTAATACAACCATAATTTTGTTTGAGAATATATGTTTAAATAAAAAAAACCACCAAACTGTCAGATTTGTGAAAGTAAGCATTCTTTTTTTCCTCTCTCTTTATCAAAACTTGGAATTGATTCCCACTGGGACAATATTATATAATTCTAAATATAAAAATTAGTATGTGTGCATGATCCTGAGTCCTTTAAAAAACTTTAGCAGCATTTCCCATTATACCTGCCCAAGAAAGAACCATCCTTTGTTACCTTTTGGGAGCCTGGCAAAGACTTTTTATTTTTCTTAGTCCTTTGATAATTACAGTTACTATGTTATTATTCAAAGTAATTTTATGCATGTGACATTTTTAGATTTTCTTTTTAAGTCTGTGTTTTTTTGGTATTGTTTCAATGCTATTTTAAATTATTTTAATTGACTATTTTGCTTGTTATTTGATTTTATTGTTTTTCTTAGTACCATTATTATATGACACCTTAAAAGTATTTGGTAAGAGGAAAATCTGATCCTAGAAATAAATATATAAAGTAGTGCTTTGCTTCATAAGTAAGAAGTCCTGGCAGGTTCTAACAATATTAATGCTAACAAGAAACTAAATAATCCTCAGTTATTTTATCACTTTTTCCTTGATACTTCTCAGCCAAAAACACTACTTATGCATTAGGACCCACTGACGAAAGCCAGCATAGCACTGACTTGCTGGGAATTTGACCTTTCCCCCTAAAGTAATAAATCTAGTTTGAAAAAAAATCTGCTTGTTTTAGAATTGTTATCATTTGCCTGATTGCATATAATCATACTGAACAACTCTAGTATAGTACTTGTTTTCATATAGATGACATAATTTTGAAAGAAGCCAACACAGTAATGATCAAATATTCATCACTAATGGTAATGTGAAGAATAACTAACTGGGGGAGGGATGTTTTTTGATTATACAAACCAGTCCCATTTCACAATTCAGCAATAAATGGTTCCTTCTATGCATTAGTTAAATGGAAACAGTTACTATTAGGAAAAGACTCCATGTACTTGAATAGTCTTCATATGAATTAACAAGCTAAAATTAATTCAAAATTTTACTGTGTAGTAAGTTCATGACAGATGATACTTTGAGAAAAACTGTAAATCTAATTATATCCAAGCAAAAGGTACTATCTTAGTTAACATAGTCTTAAGCTGTATCACTTGAAACACCATCCAAGGAAGCAGGCAAATGGGTTGCATAATCTAAACAACATTAAACATTTTTAGAATTTACATTAGGGCAATACATTTATTAGGCAAGATCAAAGGGATCAAATAGTCCATATGCTGGAGTAATCAAAACTTTACCTCAGATTAACAACACTTGGGGAAATGTTTCATGAAACCACCGAAGAGAAGAACTTCTGCATAATAGTTTCCATCTGAGATTCAGAATGAAGAAAAACTCAATGACTATCAAACTAGTTCCCTGTTTTAGGGAATTTGTGGACTCTTATGGATGTTCCATTGGTATAAATGACTCAAAATGGATGCTTCAAATAGACTTGACAATTAACTTGAAGTTACTGAAACTAAAATAAAACTGGCTTAATTTCTCAATTGAAGCTTCTATTAGCATATTTTGCAGCAACTGCATTTTTGATCATCTCCAAGAGGAACCAATGTACAACCAAATACATTAGTGCAGATGGAATTATTATTATGTCAGACATGCCCCCATTCGCTCTCTCAGGAAAGTAAAACTCATCGATTCCATTTAGTTAAAGCAAAGGAACATTTACTGAAAGAAACTAATTTCAGTAAAGTCAGGTGGAATTTGGTGTTCCCGTTCAAAGTACAAAGCTATTCTTTCCAACTCCCAACCCCTATCCCCATGACCAGTCCCCTGGACAGCCAACGTGATGCTGGTATGATGTTTTGAGAAACTCTGAGGTGTGAAACTTGTAACATTCCATTCTCAAAGGCAAACAGCCTTGAAGATCCTGGTACAAGTCGGTTTGGTGATCTGGTTTTCTTCTCTTGTAACTTCCCCTTCCCCATTTCTCACCATTAGATGCACAGGTGTGGATTGCCTCAAAATGCCTTTCCCTTCCCCTTGGATAGCAGGTACCCAGCAATGTGCCAGGCCAACGATGGAGGGCCTGACATATTATGGAACACCAGCAAGCTATGAATCTAATCATTCAGTCTTGGTCACATAAGACAGGTTGAATCCCATTCATCCAGACTCAGTCTATTGATTCTGTCTTAGCTTGAAATAAAGAGTTTGGATAACATTTTTTCTGACAAACATTTTATTAAAAGATATAATCTTTCATAGACTACATTTCAGTATGCTGATGATACAAAGCTTTACATCTCCATCCCCTGTGATCTAAGTGATGCTGTGGCTGCCCTTTCTCAGTGCCTGGAGGTTGTAGGAATCTGAATTGGGGACAACAGGCTTCATTTGAACCCTGGCATAGTGGCTTTTAGTGCAAGAGACTTCAGGATCTGGTTGTTTATCATCATTAGGTCTGGATGAGGTTGCACTACCCCAGGCAGACCCAGTGTGGAGCTTCTCTTGGAAGTGCAGGTGACAGTAGTGGCTAGAAGGGCTTTTGCGCAACTTCATATTTGTATCAACTTCATGTTTGCATATAAAACACCACTGTTGCATGAATTGCATTGGTTACCAGTTTGCTTCGGAGACCAGTTCAAGGTATTAGTTACTAACTTTAAAGTCAATATGCAATGTGTCCATGGTATCTGATAAACTGTCTCACCCAAATGGGACTAGCCTGCCCCCACTTGTGCCAGCGGAAGAGGCCTGCCTGCTATGGACTTGTGTGCTAAGGAATTCCAGCTGGCAGGTTAAATATAAGAACATTTTCTGAACCCTATGGAAGACTCTAATGCCAGAGGTTAGAACTGTGCTGAACACTCTACTATCAGAATTGAAATATTTGTGAATGATTATATACCATCAAACATATGATATCAATTTGAGCTGAAACTGTCTTGCAGCATTTGATTCATAGTAAAGCCAATAGATATGAATCCATTCTGATCAAATCAATTTGCATCTGAATTCTCAAATATCCAATATCTTAATCTTTCCTACTATCATAGCAATTATAGAATAGTACATTGTAGTAGACTTTCTCCAAGGATTCCCATTCCTCTAGAGAAACTTTCTTGGAACATGCAGAAGACTTCTGTGAAGAGAAACAG